TCTTTTTCCTTTTCTTTTTCTTTTTCCTTTTCTCTTTCCTTTTCCTTTTCTTTCTCTTTTTCCTTTTCTTTTTCTTTTTCTTTCTCCTTTTCTTTCTCAAACCTAAGATCAAAAAAATCTGTTATTGTTCAATATCACACAAATAAGTTGCTATGAAGTTATGTCGTTTTACTACAGAATAATATATACATATGATGTTTGCAACTGTCAGACTATGTCACCTCTATATAACATCAAAAAATAATATTAGGAATTACATTATTTTATTATTCATATCTTTACAATATGCGGGAAAAGTACCTTAAAACGGAAATAAACAATTTATTGCATAAGCGGAACAAATATTCAGTCGATAGATTTCGACTTTTCGACGATTTAGACATTTGTCGACTGCAATCACGAGCTTGGTTGCAAATGGGCAACGTTTTTACGCAATTAACTATCATTGTATCCCATCTTCAAAAACCAGACTAGGATTTAACCAGTTTGATGTGACAGTAATGAAAATAAATAAAAAGTTAGAGAAATTTTGGGCTACTGTAGGCAAAATCTTTAGCTACTGTGGATAATATCTTTTCTTTTTTTTTGTGCGCGGACCTTTTATCAATTTCCCTCATTCTAAGCGGATTGGTCTAGATTAAGATGAGTATTTCACCCATGCTAAGTAAAAAGAAAGGTAAAAGTACAAATAATTATCTTACTTAGGCGTGGTAGTAACGAGTGGTTGGTTATCGGCACTGTCTTCCTCATCGCTTCCGCGCGATTTATTGTCTTTCGCCTTTTCCTTATCGTCCTTTTCACTTTTGTCGCTTTTTTCTGTCTCGCTCTTGTCCGAATCCTTGTCTTTACCGCGCTGAAAGAGACATTAATTTCCTCAATATAGGTATATCGCTGTTATACCGGGAAAAACAATTATTTCACAAAATATCGACTTTGAAATAAACGCAATTGAAATTTCAACGACGAATATTTCTTATGCATACCATGGTCATCCCACGTTAATTCGTAACAGATGATTCTACATTTTATGTTTGACCGAAATTTGAAAATGTTTGCATTTTACATAAGCAAAGATAACGCCAAGTTATCCTAAATTAAGTCATTGTGTGTGAAAATTCCAGATAATTAGTTTTTGCAGTATAACGACGATGTATGGAAATGTCAAAATAAGTAAAACGAAATAGAAAAATAAACGGTAGGCTTCATTTTTCCGTCTGTACGAGTTTGTGAAACTATTATTTCAAAGGCTACAGTCAAAATCCACTATAACTGAGCAGACGAGGTGATTTAAAATTACTTAATGATTAGTATATACGACTTTTACAATCTTAATGATTAGTATATACGACTTTTACAATCTTAAGAGTTCCGTAGCGCGATGTAATGAATTATCTACTTCATTATGGTGTTTGGAATGTTAACTGGCTACATAATTGTTAAAAGTTGGCAATAGTCGAAGCTTTGTATCATCGTACCTGGTTAGGAGTACCCGTAGGTGTAGAAGAAGCGGATGATGACGTTGGTAGTTGTTTATCACGATCACGAATAAGCGACCTGCCAGCTGGAGGTGTCCGTGCCCCGCGAGGATGTGCTACCAATGTTACTCCCAGTTTGCGATAGAAATCTTCGAAACTGTGAAGAAACCTGGACAGAATAATGTTTATTTATATATATTTTTCAAAGTACTTAACTAGTTTGTTGTTATAATTGATACAAAGATAGAACGAACCAAAAGAAATCCTTCGATCCAGGTGGTCTTGAACCAGCAACATTTTCGCCTAACACGCCTAACACTATCGCTCTCCCAACTGAGCTACGGAACAAGTCAGCAGGCTTACGAATTTCTCTATGTGCTTGCTGCAGACCTTTGTTTTTTATTTTTACAGCTTTTTGTCGTAGCTGAAGTTTAATTACTAGATTTCTGCAATTATTTATAGATAAGTTAAATGTATTTATTGAGATATAGAGAGCTCAGTTACCGAGTCAGCGAAATTCTCCAATGTGTATTGTGATTTGTTCAAACCCTCTACAGCAGCACAAAACATTGACTTTGATGTACTAGGTGAAAAAATATCGTAATAAGGAATGAAGTATCCTTTTACCTTTGAAGTTTACAATCAGTTGACCGGACTATGAACAGGTGAGTTAAAGGATGTAGGATGTTTTAGACAGTTAAAACCACTGCCTGTGTTTTGACTTTTATCGAATTACTTATCTAATGAATGACTAGAGAAAGTACACTTCAGTCATGTTTATTTTATCTTTTAATTTAAGAAATATAGATAAAGAGAATTTGTAAAGGTTACTTACTTCTTATAGGCTTGTTTGCAAAGGTTAGTTATGCTGGTAGTGACAGGATGAAAGCCCATTTTGTCCGCGATCGTTTTCCACTGGTTCTGGTTTGTTACCCTGTTGTAACCGCCAAGTTTTTGTACCACCTGTTACAAAACAATGGAACATAAGATATTATAGAAATGAAGGGTAATTCGAAAATTAAATCTCTGCACTTATACAGCCATAAGAATTAAGGAAGAAATTGTTTTTGATTACTGCTCCCATGTCATGTACAACAAACTTTAGCAAAATGTGTAATCATTATTATAGCAGCCTTTCCTTCATTGATCAATGGACTTTTTTCAAGTTGCAGTCGCTTCTTCTTCTTCTTCTTCTTTTAAATGCTATGGCTACATCGAAATAACCGATGATTTCGCCAATGTCAAGTAAAAATGACTACGTGCGGTAGTTTTGTAAAAATATGACTTATACTTTATAATGTTACAACCCCATCGATACCATCGGTAAACCCGCCAATGCGAAGTTGAGAAACGCACGTGCTTTTAACTCAAAGATTGACCGGTAAATTCCGAAAAAATTAATTGAGAAGAGAATCTACAACAACCGAGTACCTACACATAGGTACTATTACAAAACAAATTAATTTTCTTTTTAATAAACTTACACAGAACATAGACAAAGGAAGAGTGGACTAACGTTAAGAGGAAGTTGATATTGACGGGACGGGGGATTTTAGGGGGGGGGGATCATACAGAGGAGTAACGATACGACTACAGTAAAAAAACAGGTGCTTGATGGTACCCTCTGCCAGACCGCACTCGCACAGGGAGTGATCTCGAACACGAATCTTGGCCAAGAGCACAAGAGTCCATATGTGAGCTAAGCGAAGGCGAATAATTGCAGAGGTAATATTTTTCGGAATCGATTTCCAAGTGAAGAACCAAGGTTTAGTGGAAGTTTAGTTGCAGTCAATTATTAGATGTATATGACATTACTGTTGTGGAATCGTATTTTGAATATATTATTATTATTATCTCAATAAGCCGTGGTAGCCTAATGGTAAGTGGTGGATCTACCACCTCCCAAGTAGAGACCGTGGGTTCGATTACGGGCTCACACAGAGGTATGCGCCTGGATTAAACACATAAATATGTGCAAATTTTAATTCGAAATTTACCATGAGCTTCGTGATGAAACCTGCACGTCGAAAAAATTTCACCAAATTTCGGAATACGTGTGACAACCCCAACCCGCATTGGGTCAACGACAACGTGGCGGATTATGACCTAAACTACCGCCTGAGAGGACACCTGTGCCCAGCAGAGAGACGTATAAATGGATTGACGACGATGATTATTATTATTTTTTAAGCATCCACAAAGACTGAAATTGCAGACGTAGGCAAAGTACTGCCAAACTATTCGTTTAATGTATACCTACTCGTTCTATGAGATACTTATCACCCTATTGCAGTTCTCTTAGCGAGGACGAACTATAGACAAAATAATTTTCTATGTAGAGCTACCAAGAGCTTGGATAGCGTGCTGATATATTCAATTGTAATGGTGATATATGATATATATATGATACGCTACAGCGTAACCTCACGGTCATTCTATTTAATTTTATTGAATAATTTGTGATTAGCGCAGGTATTGGGTTGTTATATTTATGTAAGTGCAAGTTGTTAAGAAACACTGTTTATTGTTCGTTTGTTTAAAGCTCGTGTTTGATTTGTCTGAAGCTATAGGTGGATTCCATTTCAATTGGCTTTATGTTTATTTTCCTGTTTTTATTAAATGTAAGAAGCTGTTGGTTTTCCATAAATAAAGATGCAACCTGAAAAGTTCCGTCATTGTCGTTGTACAAGATCTACCTGAAGTATGTTGATGACGAGGTAAACCCAAAAAGACGGCGTGTATTTTAAGAAATATGATTTACACCGATGAATGTTATCGCTTGGAACGGTTTATCCTTTCTATTACAATAGGGCGATAAAACCATTAACACTTTTTTATTTAAAAATTTACTTGCTGCAGACTCGGCCTTAAATTATCGGAGCAGGACTGCGATATTGCGCTCTCTCCCCACTAGTGTAGTGTTAAGCGTACGCGACGCTGATGCAACATTGCAACCGTTTTTGTTTTAATACCTTTGTTATCAATAACGTGTTTACATTTCTGGCGGAAATAAGAAATCCCGTAAACTTAGGAAGTATTAATTATATATTTAGTTTTAGGTTTTTAATATTGTAAATTTGTATGGTATGTGTTTAAGAATAATTTTATTTTTATTTCTTACTTTCCTACTTCGTACTTTCACTATTACAATTTTTGATGACAATAAAATTAAACGTTATCTGAATCCACAGCATTTATCAACTGCAGTAACACGGCACAGCCCTGCCCATACCCCACTGGTAAGTGCGAGAGAGATCGCAATATAGCTGCCCCACGACGATAATTTACGGCCGCGTCTACATCGAGAAAATAATTTTACTCTAGTAATCTTGGCACAGACGTCTCAGTACAGGTGTGCTAAATGTGTGTACAGGTGTGTTAAATGCTTTTTTCGAATTCTAATTCTGAACCAATTATTTACAAAATATCAAATCGTTCTTGTTATCTGTGGTTACTTCCGTAAAATCGACAACCGATACTTTTCTTACTAATTCAGCAAAGTTAGGACTCGATCCCATTATGTCGTGACGACAAATAGTCGTGCAGTTTAAAGAGTCGTGTCTTGTATATTAAAATGAAGTTATTCACATACATAATTGTATACAACACGATTAGCTGCCGTTCACGACTTTTTTGATGTTACGTCGACAGACTGTTAAGACAATGGGAAGAGCTACAACGACAGTCGTCAGACGATAAATAAAACATCACGATAAAAATGTGACTACAGATAGTCGCAGCTACTATTATCGTCACGTTTTATTTATCGTTGTCTGCAAGTGCTTGCTTCCTCTTCTGCCTTTTTCAAAATATAATACATAATTAAAATTTCATCTTCATCCATTTCCACCCCACATGGGAGCGAACACACACTACTGACTTCTAAAAGAACATAGAGGCGACTGCTGTGCGTCAAACGATTCTGTCGTGCAAACGACAAGGCCGCGGGCGTGAAACGATAAATTGGCGTCACGATCCAGCGGGAACGCGCCCTTAGTGCCACATAAAGATTATCAAGTTTAGAGTTAAGTACCAGTGCGTAAGTTTTTAAAACTAGTTGTTTGAATTGTACAGATGGCATGTGTGTTAGCTAGACGGCTCAATCATTTTTCCTATATACTCGAAAGATAAACTGATAAGATGGATCGGTGCAAATAATATTTCGTGTTTGTCGTGCTTTTTTACTTTGGTCTAAGTCTTTACTGTGCATTGGAATCCCATACAGCCTGTATCAAACGATAATTTGAAGCACACAAACCCTAAAAAGCCTGTAGAGGTCTATGTCTCGGTTGGCGATGGTAGGGTTGCGGTTGAGCGGTGTGCCGCGGTCGTCCATAAACTTATACAGCTGCGCCACGAAGTGGTCTTTCTCTTCGCGAGGCTCATCATCCGAACTCTGCAACAGCATATACAAAGGTATAGGTTATTGTCCAATGTAACTGTCAAAATCCATCGGGACAAAGAAACAACCAAACGCTATATCTAGTCTCAATAAAATGCAAATCCTTATTAGTTACTATTGTGGCACATTGCGTGGCTGAAGCAGGTATTTTCTGTAGATTTATACCTAATCATGCTAGATTTTGATTGCAGCCATAAGTACAACCCTTCCTTGAGAGTGCAGAATGAGGGGGACACCAATCGACCAATGCCATCTATTAGTTTGTAGGGACAATTGATTTAAGCAATAGAGGGATTTTTTCGTTATTCGTTATTTTCACTCACAGAGTTGTAAGTGAAGTATAGGTAGTTTTAGTAAATTATACTTACATCATCGGAAGTATTCCTGGGTTCATTGAATAATGTGTCGCGGTCCCAATGTGGTGGTAGGACAGCGTTGTTGAGGTACTGCAGCGCAGCTTCCACGCCGCTCCACTCTATTGGTGCTGATCCTTTGCGAAACTCACGCGCTTCCTTCTTCGGCACTGTATAGCTATGTACAAATACAAGTTAGATAAGAAATCTGTATGCAATTGAAAGATCAACAAATCAAGGTACTTCGAAAGGCCAGTGTTGATCCTTTTAACGCTAAAATTTTAATTAGGCTCAAGCCTAGAACTACATTCATAACGTGTTGCACCGATAAATTAAGCAATACCATGAGTTTTCAATTAGATTGTTTACAAAGCAAGTTTTGCGTAGTTGGACTCACTATCGTCCGTCCTTAAAGGAGCGCACGAGATAGTCTTCCTTGACTTTAATTTGCGCGGTTGGCGCGACGACGAGTGCTGGGAACGCCGGTTGATGAGGCCTCCGTCTCTCTGCGCCTCCCGCCGCCTCTACCAGTACCACTCGCCCAACATGTGGTTCGCGTTCCCGCTCCACACTTTCTGCTTTTTGACGACGACCGCTGCCTGATTCTTCACTTTCTTCAGACCTAATACATTTTTCTTTTTTATAAAATCTGTCCAAATGTCTGAAAATGGTTAATATTTTGTTTAAATTAATTTACTCAATTGAATACACAACACGTGAAAATGGTACTTGCGTAAATGTAAATTTAACTCATTTTAGGTTCAGTGTGTCTATATTTTTCGTTATTATTAATAAGGATGATTTTGTTTTAATTTAGAGATGTCATTACATTTAGAAACACTGAATTAAGATTAGTTTGCTTTATTACATTAAAATGCACTGAACTTAAAATTAGTTTGCTTTTCAGTCTATCAACTCAAAACATTAAAAAACAACTTACTGAGCTCTTCCTCTTCTTCCCCTTCTCCCAGCTATAACAGGCGTTGAGAAATGTTCTGGATGCGTGAGTGGTAATTGGTCTAAAGTCTCGCTCTCGTTGAAATGCCTCCCGCTTTTCAGGCATAGAGCGGACCTCCGTAGTGTAGTTATGTCTCCGTCGTCAAATACTGGTTAAATGACACAAAAATTTATTAGAGATCAATATGTTACGACTTACGTAAGTCGTGTGTAGTGAAACCAGATATATCATGTTCAGTAAATTATTAAGAAGAAAGCATACTTTTAGGCATTTTATTCATTAAAAACTTTTTTATGTCTTGGATACCCAAATATCTATATTATATAGATAACACTGGGGACAAAACTGTCGCTTTGAAAGAGTGGCTGGATGAAGACGGCGGAACGCCAAATGCTGTTTTATGGCTTGGGTCATGTGAATTATAGGAGTCTAATATTGAAATATGCCACTCACCAACAGTATACTGACTGCAATCTTGGATTTTGGAAATAACAGCCTCCATAGCGTCCTTTTTAGGGTCTTGCTTTACCTCCACAGTGCTTCCGACACGTAATGTGCCTTTAATGACATCATCATTCACTGTAATTGTACCTCCACCTGCTTTTAGTGTCACCTGTGAAATTTGTTTGTTATTGAATTATTTTATCTTTTTACAAAAAAAGTGCAATGGAACAGTGAAGGCTATTAAAAAGGAAAATCATCCAAATTATAACTTTCTTTTTACATAACAGTTACTAATGCCTATAACTGATTCGTTTGCCTA